ACTAAAGGCCGTTTTTGAGGCCTAAGTCATCGGTATCGTGACCAGCGGTGTGAAACAAAGGGAGTAGACGAGCGGAAGATGGGTGTGATATGGAAAAGTCAGCATTTTTGTATTACAGTATACAGAATGAACTATCGATCCAACAATCAGGCACATGATAAAAACCTACAAAAAACGTTTGCTGAAGTAACTGGGGAGTTGGACGATAGGAGTCTTCTGTGAAATAAGAAGACCCTAAAGGTCCTAAAAATCTGAACCTATTAAAGCACACGAGGGTTGTGGCGGTTGCCACCTCAAAACCATGCCGCGATGGGCGAGGAATTACCAAAGAATAGCGTGGTTAACATACGGCTTGGGGGATTTTAAAAGCACTAAATGTTCACTGTTTCGGGCTGCCAAACACATCGAGACGCACCATCTACTGCACATGCCTTGTAAGGGCGGCTGCGCGGTGCCAATCACTCATCCAGCGCGTGAAAATCTTCCGCACGCGCGTGCGCGCGCTCTTGTTCGACCTACTGTGAATGTTGCTCAGCTTTTTCGCCTCTCGCTCAAGGTCGGGTCGCCGACTCACGAAAGCTCGAAGCCAATCAGTGTGCGCCAGTTCCTGATTGGTTGCGGGTAACGAAGGAGACGTACCGATTTCTTCTAATCCCGGACGCACAGGCACACACAATGCAAAATCTGGCCTGAGAGGACTGTAGGCAACTCTTTTTTGTGGAGCCTTTTGTAAGCCCTTGCTCAGGGTAAACACTGTCCATCTTTATCAGTCTTCCCTGACTTCTCACTTGGGGGAACCTTATGTTTTTAGACTTTGCCACCTTTCGACAAGTTCAGTGCAGGGAGCCAGGAGTTCTCGAGGAGTAGCCAGCAAGATATCTCTAAATTACCTACTTCTGGTTATGATCTACACGCTGTTCCATATGGTTTAGGCAGTTAAATCATGTATATGACGACTGTTAGAAGTTGTGCTAGGAAGACATGCCAGTTTAGCCGGAATCAACGCTGACCTTGGGAGAACTCGGTAAGACTTTTTGGTATTTGATTGCTTGGCATAAGCTCGTGTGTGTGACTTTAGTAAAGTGAGCAAGCTTTGGACATGTGAAGTTCCATCCAGTAGGGTAGTTAAAACAATTTATAGAAGAAAGCAGTAGACTAACCCAAAGAGCCCGTTCCATCAATGATAGCAGTGACTGTAGCCAGAGCTTTCGAGTTGCCTTGGAGACTAGGCTGGGTACCCAGATCCGCGGAGACAGCCGTGGTGATTAAAGCACATGGCCCAGTCACCAAAAGGCCACAGAGGAAGAGAAGGCCTTAAAAAAAACAGGAAAATGATCGGTTGCACACGCGGTCATGAAAAACACTACTGTCGAGGCATGAAACGACTGAAGGCAGGTGTGTTTAAAACGGGCGGGGCAAAATGGTGGACAACAAGGGGTGGTAGGTGGGGGTTCACCGCACCGATAATCACCCAGATCATTTTTAGGACTAGAAGTCAGGCCGCAATAGTTCCCGCCTAATTTGTGATCATTATCGTACCTCCACCTCCACGTCCGTGAGATCGAACCGATTATTATATTGAAGGGCAGGCACTTATCATGCAAATGGGAAGCATGCACCCTGATTTACACTAATACATCCCTTGGTGACCACGAATGAAGGAGAACGTTCGCGTTCCAGGTATTTGTATCGGTAAAGAAGACAGATGATCGAACACCAGAACGATTTGTATTTTATTCTGAGCTTTCGGACTCTTCCCGGATTCAATCGTCAGC